TACTAATTTATTTTATGGTCTTGAAGGAAAATGGATTGGTATGATGATTTCAAATGTGGAACTGTACTGTACTGGCTTTAATTAAGCTGATATATCAGAAATGGGTGATAGTAGTAAAGTCCCTTGTAGTTATGAGGATCATTTCAGATGCCCAGTTAAAGCAAGGAAGTCCCTCTCTTCAGCCCCAGTTGTTGGAGGAAAGTTGCTTCAGAAAGTTTTTGGAGACAGATATCATTTTACAATGGTAAAAACACATCTTCTGTTCATACTCGCAGAAGACAGTGGTAAGCCATTCCTATATTTTACCAAGAAAACCACATGGATTGTTGTTGGGGGCAATATGCTGACTCTGTAAACCGCTTAGAGAGGTCTGAAAGCCCTATGAAGCGGTATATAAGTCTAACTGCTATTGCTATTGCTATATTTGTTTTAAAAAGGGGGGGTTGCCCTTTTAGGAATCTGACTAAAACCTATGAAGAACGGTTGCAGGAACTGGGTATGGCTAGTCTAGAGAAAAGAAGAATTAGGGGTGACACGATAGCAGTCTTCCAGTATTTGAGGGGTTGCCACAAAGAGGAGGGGGTCAATTTATTTTCCAAAGCACCTGAAGGCAGGACAAGAAACAATGGATGGAAGCTGATCAAAGAGAGAAGCAATTTTAAATTAAAGGAAAAACTTCCTAACAGTGAGGACAATTAACCAGTGGGATGGCTTGCCTTCAGAAGTTGTGGGAGCTTCATCACTGGAGGCTTTTCAGAAAAGTTTGGACAAATTCCCATTTGTTGGGAATGGTGTAGCTTGAACAGAGGGTTGTAACTAGAAACCTCCAAAGTCCCTTCCAAGTTCTGTTATTCTGTAATTCTCTAATCCAACTCCTCCCAGTTCATCTTGGTAAAGAACTTGACTTTCAAAATGACACTCCATAAAACCCTCTTCTCATTAACCTCTAAATCAAGATCTTTTTCTTCCCAAAGCTGCTACTTTCACCTTTGAAATTTTTGTTTCGATGGCTCCAGTTGGTAAAAACAGTCCAGAACCGAGAAGTTGTGTCCCCCCCCACTTCTTTGACAAAATTATTCACTTTTGATTGCCTGTCAGCTTCATGCCTTCCTTTGCTCAGCAGAGGGAAGCGGACTCTGCTAACACATTTTTTTTCCCCGCGAGTGCCCAAAAGCCATCGCATTCAACGTGACCCTGGTTAATCGGGGCGACAGCCAATCCGACATGAAAATTCAAAGTGTGCATTCTCATGATATTGAAGGGCTTCACTGGGAACAGATTTAGCCAAGACCTGTCTGATATGGTTGACCTGTTTAGCATAGCCCTCAGCATCACTAGAAAGCATGGGCGCCTCCATCACAACGAGCCACTGTTCTTTTGGAAAATTATTACTATTATTATTCTCATTTAAAGGGCCAGAATGTGATAGAATGTCTAACGCGCTCTGAGGAAGGAGGGGAGGAAGAATTGATGGTCCAAGGGACACCTAAGCTCAAGGGAAGGAAGGAGAGTCAGGGTAACTCTGCCTTAATTACCCTAAAGGTTCCCCTCGCACATATGTGCTGGTTGTTCCTGACTCTAGGGGGCNAGAGAGTGTGGCAGGCCAAAAACCCTAAAAGGAATATAACCGCAGGCCTGACACTGTGTTTGAACACACCTGGCAAAGAGAAAAGCCCGCCTACCCCTCTTGGCCGGTAGTTCAAATTTGCTCTGACTGTTGAGAAAAGTTTTCTTTTTAAACATTCAGTCAGAATCCCCATTTCTTTTTGAACTGCTCTTAAACCGCTCTTCAAAGGAAACCACACCTGTAACCAAACTGAATGTCTAAGATTTAAGCTGCACCTGGGGGGGGGGGTGTCATTAGGCTGAATTGCCAGTAAGTAGCATCTTCCCCCTCAGAAGATGATTTCCTTGGTATGGCCTTTGAGTTCCTCCAGTCTTTACCCTTTAACTCTGACCAGCGGTGGGTTGCTGCCGGTTCGGCGCGCAAAAAAAATTGCCGCCGACATTACTGCCGGTTCGGCGTGTGCATTTGTACATAAAAAGATCTGCGCATGCGCACAATGTTAGAAAAGGGGGGGGAAAGTACATTTTTGCAATGAAGATTGTTCTTCGCATGCGCAGAACCAAAAATCAAGATGGTGCCGCCTCCAATAGAACCAGTTCAGGGGCGTGGCAGGCCGAGTTACTACCTACTCGGCCGAATCGGGGTGAACTGGTAGGAACCCACCTTTGACCCTGACTCCTGGCACAGGAGCCGAATTTGAAATGTTACTGTATTTTTCGGAGTATAAGATGCACCTTTTTCCCTCAAAAAAGAAGCTGAAAATCTGGGTGCATCTTATACACTGAATACAGCATTTTTGGCCTCCTGAAACCTCGCCCCGTTCACCAAAATGGCTGTGCATAGCCTTTAGGAGGCTTCCAGAGTGCTCCAAAAAACTGCCATTTTTTGCTCAATTTTGCCTCCCCCCCCAGCCCCCAGGAGCACTCTATAAGCCTCCTAAAGGTATTCGTGCCATTTTTTTTGACAAAAATGGGCCCGTTTTCACAAAAAACAGGCCGTTTTTGGGAGGTCTGCAGAGTGCAAAAACTTTTTTTAATTTGCCTCTTCAAAACCTCGGTGCGTCTTATATTCTGGTGCGTCTTATACTTAAATATGGTATATTCTGGTACGTAATTCTTGTAAAAAGATGAAGGACCAGAAAAGTCCTTCAGGATTCCCAGCTTAAGGAGGGGGGGGGGGAAACACAGCTGGTTTGGAAAGCAGAGGGACAAAGGGAATGGCCTTGACAGACAGGAGGAAGAACTGCTGCTGAGGCAATGACCATCTTACAGGGGCCTGAGTGCAGGCCACGAAATTAACTTGAGAAAAGGCTTCAGACCAATCCCATCCTAGTTTACATGAAGATAAAGGGAGCACATTCAGACTTGCACGGGTCTGTCATTGTAAAAACTAAAGGTAAAATTTTTCGCTGTCCAGTCATGTCCGACTCTCATCTCATCTCCGTTTCCTAACCTAGAGAGCCAGCAATGTCCAAAGACATTTCCCATGATCATGCAGCCGGTATGACTGTACACCGAGGTACACAGAATGCTGTTAACCTTCCCAGCGAAGTGGTACCTATTTATCTACTCTCATATGCATGCTTTCGAACTGCTAGGCAGGCAGGAGCTGAGGCAAGTAATGGATGCTCATCCGTCACGTGGCACTCGGGTCTCGAGCCCCAGCTGTCAGCTTTCCAGCTGACAAGCTTATTAGGGTGCCCCACTCGGTGGCGGGATTCAAAAAAAATTACTACCGGTGGGCGTGGCTTGGTGGGCACGGCAGGGGAAGGATACTGTAAAATCTCCATTCTCTCCCAATCAGCTGGGACTCGGAAGGCAGAGAATAGATGGGGGCGAGGCCAGCCACAGGTGATATTTACCGGTTCTCCAAATTGCTCAAAATTTCCGCTACCGGTTCTCCAGAACCGGTCAGGATCTGCTGAATCCCACCTCTGGCCCCATTCTCTGTCATCGTAGCTGTTACAATAAATGAAGTCCTAATTGATCAGCGTTTATGAGTAGAAGCACCTCTGGTGCAGGGCTTCCTGCCTGCTGTGCCCATTTTAGGGCCGCTGATTCACCGTTGGTTCTCAGCCCTCCAAGGAGTTGTAACATGTTCATCAGCCACACCCTGTAAAAGCGTCTCAGCAGACGGGTCAAAACAGGTGAGGGAAGCCGGTGGATTTTTGGGGATTTGCCATTCACACAGGCAGTGGTTTGCTACTCTGGTCTACCTTGAGGACTGACACACCTTCTGCAGGAATTGGGCTGAAGTACACCACACACGGGCATTGCCAACCAAGATCTCAGCAAGCAGATAAGAAGGTCTCGAGTTACCTTTCCTGCCCAGCAGTGTCCCAGAGTTGCAGCACCACCTGGCTGCCGTCCAAGCTCACAGTTTTCATGGAATAATCCACACCTGTAGAAGACAAACAGCTCCAATTCTATCAATCGATCAGAATAGAGCTGGAAGGGATCTCAGAGGTCTTCCAGTCCAACCCCCTGCTCAAGCAGGAGACACTGTATAATTTCAAACAAATTGCTCTCCCGTTTCTTTCAAAAGCCTCCAGTGATGGAGCGCACCCACCATTTCTGGAGGCAAGCGGTTCCATTGATTAATTCTACTCAATGTTAGGAAATTTCTCCTTAGTTCTAAGTTGCTTCTCTCCTTGATTAGTTTCCACCCATTGCTTCTTGTCCTTCCCTCAGGTGCTTTGGAGAATAGCTTGATTCCTTCTTTGTGGCAGCTCCTGAGATATTGGAAGACTGCTATCATGTCTCCCCTTGTCCTTCTTTTCATTAAACTAAACATACCCAGTTCCTGCAACCGTTCTTCGTATGTTTTAGCCTCCAGTCTCCTAATCATCTTTGTTGCTCTTCTTAGTTACCATCTTCTTAAAGTAGTTGCTATCTTAAAGAATAACAGAGTTGGAAGTGACCTTGGAGGTCTTCTAATTGAGTGGTGGGTTCCTACCAGTTCGACTGAACTGGTAGTGGTTTGGCGGCCTGGGTCGCTGAAACCGGCAGCGACCCAGGCCTGCCACGCCCCCAAACCAGTTCTACGGGCGCCGCCATAGGTGCCGCCATCTTGTTTTTTTTGCTTCTGCGGATGCGCAGAACAATTTTTATTGCATTGTGCATGCAGTATGCCCACCTACCCCTGTTATAGTCCAACCCAGTGATGCTTAACCTTTTCGGCACCAAGTACTGACATTGGAGTGTGCGTGTGCATGCCAATTGCACTCGCAAGCAAAATGGTACCAGTTTGGGTAGGAACCCACTCCTTCTTTGAACTCTGGTGCTGGAGAAGACTTCTGCAAATCCCTTGGAGTGCAAGACGATCAAACCAGTCAATCCTAGAGGAGATCAACCCTGACTGCTCTTTAGAAGGCCAGATCCTGAAGAGGAAACTCAAAGATTTTGGCCATCTAAGGAGAAGGAAGGATTCCCTGGAGAAGAGCCTCATGCTGGGAAAGATTGAGGGCAAAAGAAGAAGGGGACGACAGAGAAGGAGGTGGCTGGATGGAGTCAATGAAGCAGTAAGCATGAGCATAAATGGACTCCAGAGGATGGTAGAGGACAGGAAGGCCTGGAGGAACGTTGTCCATGGAGTCACAATGGGTCGGACATGACTTCACAACTAACAACAAGAGAGTTAAATTCTGTAACCTCCAAGAGAAAGCAACACCACCAAAGTTTNGGACCTTGAGAGATAAATTGCACTTCCTTTATAGCTGCAGACCAGCTGATTTTGACAGCCTCAAAGCAATGCATCACAATAGAAACAATAAAAGATGCGGTATATACTGTATAGTTTTATATATACAGAACACCCTGACATATATATTATATATCAGCCTGATAAAAGTTTAGTGGAAAGAAAAACCTGAACAAGAAAATAAGAATGTGGCTATAACAGAGGGTTTTTTAAAAACCCATTTTTTTTAATGAAAAATAAAAATTCACGGGCCGTCCTTGTATGCACGCTAATACTCGGAGTGTGGGAAACGACCTTGAATTCTCGATAAGCAAATACGATTGAATGGTTATAATGTAAAGAAGACTCCCAGGATGGCGATACGGCAACCGAAGGATAATCCGTGCTCAAAAGGAAGGGATCAAAAGGAAGGAGTTGCGCATCTCAGATAAAAAGAAGTGGGGAAGAGAACAAAACAGTGTTAATAAAACATGATTATCATTCACCCAGCCAAGGAGGAGAGAGGGAGGATGCTTTTCTGAAGATGAAATGCTGATCTGATCTCTTTGAAAGGATTTCTGGGAAATCTCTGGACTGCCTTGCTCGGTTTTTCTTTCGGAGAGTGCTGGAAGGACAACAAGTACCATCGTCCCTGACCAGGGATGGTATTCACTTACTTTCCCTACCCGTTTGCAAATGTGAGCGTGCTTTGGGCTACAAAAGGACCTAAATGGGATGCCATAGAGCTGGGGCTACCGGTGATTTCTGCTACCGGTTTCGAGTAAAACTGGTCCAAACCGATATAATACCATCTCTGTCCCTGATATTCATCCATAAGGAAGGAAATCTCCATTGGTACTTGTACAGTATGGGTAGTCCTCGACTTACGACTACATTGGAGCCAACGTTTCTGTTGTTAAGCGAGACAGTTGTTAAGTGAGTCGTAGAACCATTTTTGCCGCGGTAAAGCAAATCGCTGCAGTTGTAAAGTGAGTCAAGTAGACTTTAAGTGAATCTCCCTTTTCTCGTCGGCTTTGCTTGTTGGAAGCCCAGCTGGGAGGGTCGCAAAAGGGGGATCACGTGCCCCCAGGGCGCTACAACTGTCACAATACATGCCATTTTGATCACGTGACCACGGAGATGCTGTAATGGTCACAAACCTGAGAATTGGTTATCAGATGCTTTTTTTAGCGCCGTTGTAGCTTTGAATGGCCACTACATGAACTGTTGTAAGTCAAGGACTAGCGGTAGAATCAAGATCATGCGAAATACTAGCACCACTTTGTAAAACCCTAGTAAGGCCACACCTGGAATAATGCCACCAATTTTGGTCACCCTACTACGAAATAATATATTGAGACCTTGGAAAAAGGGCAGAGAAGAGCAACTAAGAGGATCAAAGGCCTGGAGACTAAAACAGGCAAAGAACGGCTGCAGGATTTGGTTAGTCTAGAGAAAAGAAGGGCTAGAGGTGACACAGGATAGCAGTGTTTCTCTATTTGAAGGGCTGCCACAAAGAAGAGGGGGTCAAACTATTCTCCAAAGCACCAGAAGGCTCAGGACAAGAAGCAATGGGTGGAAACTAATCACGGAGAGAAGCAACATGGAATTAAGGAGAAACTTCCTAACAGTGAGGACAATCAACCAGTGGAACAACTTGCCTCCAGAAGTTGTGGCCTCTCCATCACTGGAAGTTTTTTAAGAAGAGACTAAAGACAGCCACTTGTCTGAAATAGTATAGGTTATCCTGCTTGAGCAGGGGGCTGGACTAGAAGACCTCCAAGGTCCTTTTCTATTCTATTCTATTCTATTCTAATTCGAATTCTATTCCATTCCATTCCATTCCTATTTCTATTCTATTCTATTTTGATTTCTATTCTATTCTATTCTATTCTAATTCTATTCCATTTCATTCCTATTTCTATTCTATTCTTTCTAATTCTATTCCATTTCATTCCTATTTCTATTCTATTCTTTCTATTTCTATTCTATTCTTTCTATTTCTATTCTATTCTTTCTATTTCTATTCTATTCTTTTCTTTCTATTCTATTCTAATTCTATTCCATTTCATTCCATTCCTATTTCTATTCTATTCTATTCTATTTCAATTTCTATTCTATTCTATTCTATTTTTTCTATTCTATTCTAATTCTATTCCATTTCATTCCATTCCTATTTCTATTCTATTCTATTCTATTTCAATTTCTATTCTATTCTATTCTATTTTTTCTATTCTATTCTAATTCTATTCCATTTCATTCCATTCCTATTCTATTCTATTCTATTTCAATTTCTATTCTATTCTATTCTATTTT